GTCCTCCTGTTAACGGCGCCGATCGCTGCGAACTCTGCTCTCCGCTCTCTTGCTCCCTCGTCTTCTCCTCCCTCCTCCGCGCTCCGAAAGTGGAAAGTTCGAATTGTTTGCTCGGCTGCCTTCTCCCCGGGTCCTCTCTCCTAATAACGCGTCACCTAGGAGGCGCGCGGTGTCCCCAGCGCGGTCGGGATCGAAACGCGTTTCCGCAAGACGCGGGGGAGTAACGAGGCGGCCAGTGAAAGTCGATGGTGATTGGACGGAGGTCGAGTAGGTTGGTTTCCTGTGTTGGTCGGATGATCCTGGACGAAACGTTTCGATACCCGTTAACCCCTTGGCCGTGGAATACCGTGACTCGCGAGGAAGATGTCAAACGAAAGTAAATAAAAATAAATGTGGTTCGATTATTTCGAGTCCGAGTTAAATACTGATTTTGTATTGGCAATTGTTATGTTTCGACGTAAACGTGGAATTCGAGTTGAATCTTGTTTTTCTGTTGTTAATTGGTATGTTTTAAAGTAAACGTGGATATAGATTTGTATTATAGAATTCTGCTTTGTTTTAAGTAAATTATTATTGACAAACTGATTCTAATATATTTCCAGTCGAAGTTCTCTGTTTTTAGACGACTTACGAAATAAGAAATTTTTAGGTTATTATAAATCGGAAGGTTTACAATTTTTTTACGTGTTCAGTAATGTTTTAGGATGGCACACTGTAATTTTTGTGTGAGTATCTCCATCGTTATACCATTAGAGCATATGTGCATACATCAACATTTTGAAAATTTGTATTTTACTTTTATTTTACTTTACAAGTTACTTAGTAACATCTATTATAAATATATAAAAATCGTAGTATAACAATAGTAAAATCATGTCGAAATAGTATTATAAGGTGTTTAATTCCTTAACGCAGAATCCAGAATCTCGCAGGAGCACGGTTATTAACTCATTTGCATCATTAGCGTATATACACGCTCGATTTACTTGGCCATTATCCCTATAGCATATACACGTATGCGCTCTTGTGATAGACTACATTGATATTGTAAGAGAATCACACGATAGGTAGGATTTTATAAGTGTCATCTCTATATCATTATTATTATTATTTCTTTTTATCATTATTATGATTACATTACGATTGTTATTTTTATACCGCCTAAAGTACTTATTTTAATTAATTTAAAGTTTGCATTTTCTTTTATTAAATACAGGCAATTATCAGTTTCACCAATTAATGGAATATTTTTGGAATGCTTCTCGGTGGTTGTCTCACTTTTTTTCATGAATGCCCGGTAATTGCTGAACGGTTAGACAACGGTTCCGGTTTCTTCTGGACTTCTCAGCCTCCTGACGGCTGTCGTTTACCTAACGGTATTCCATTAGTTGTGTGACGATTCTTTGACAGTTTTTTTTTGCACGACGTTTATCCATTTCACGATGATCGGGATGTAACTGAAGTCTGTTTGGTATTACCAATATATTTCTGTTTTCAATTACAGCGCGGTGCGTTTCTAAATGATTTGGAACATATTGAAATAAATAATTATCGTGTCCGTACATGCGTTTTCATCTGTACTTAATTAAAATCAATACCTAATTGACTCACGCGACTGAAACATAATTTGTACCGCGACGCATTTAGATATTTTATATTTTGTCCCATATCCGATGTAAATGGTTTCATATTAATTTTTCTAATACCAATGGATTATTACTTCAACATCTCGTTGATATTACGACAGTCAAACATTGATACATGTTAATATTAATGATTATATAATTGCTCGCGCCATTAATTGATTCGGTTTCCATATTAGCCGCTTTTTTAACACGTTAAAATCTATACAATTACGAACTTATATTTTAACAATAATGAATTTTATATTTATCATAAAAAGTCGCTTTGTTTCTATAAAATAACTTATGCACATGAAAGTTTCCAAAACGATCTCTTCATTATGTTTCATACATCACCAGAAAAGTGTATTTTTCAAGTTTATCTAAGAACCGGTGTCACCTGAATTCGGATGATGCGGAAATTAAACTATTAAAGATTACGCTTATTACAGTGTTATATTAAATTATAATTATTACGGTATTTAATTCAATCAGAGTGCTATAAACTACGATTGAATTAAATAACGTCGACGTAAGTCTCAGAATGAAAAGCCACGAACACTTCAGACTACAAAGGGTTAATAAATCTATATGTCATGAAAAGAAGCTACTGTCCAAATTTCATACTTTTACCTTCAGTAGATTTTTCTCGGCATTGATGAATCAGTCGATTCATATAAAGATTAACTCCTTGCCCTTTGATTTATTTCTCAACTATGATCAATACTACTACTTTATCATTACGACTACTATTTAATAATTTATTAAGAAAAGGATTAAAATTATAAGCAGATTCTATATCAATTTTTGCTCCAAAGTGTATTAATTAATAACAGAAGAATAATATTTCATTTTAATTCAAAAGAATTGAGTGATATTCATCCTTGTTTGATTCTGTTTAAAATCTTCACCACTAATCTGCCACGTTATTTTAAGGCAAGGGGTTAACAACCAAGCGAGCGAAACCGCGGATGCAAACTAGTTTTCTTACAAGTAGAATATTTCTTTTTCACGCGAACGCGTTTTGCACGGAACGCATTTATCGCGTAAAAACAGAATCGGGTGTACTCACCGATCGCACAAGCTCACCTGAAACTGTCGGACGCAAAAAGTGCAAATGACTCGCGTTGCGACAAAAGAAACGGCCACATCCCGTCACCGATTTATGATAATTGATTATCGGTCGGACGGTTATCAATTGCCGTTGCGGCAACTTGTATCCAGATGCAGCTGATGCTGTAATGGTTACCGTTATTGGAGCGACACGACGTTCACTTTCGAGTGCGCGCCGAAATAGGACCTTATGTACAAATGTCTGCGTTTACGTATCATTAATTATCTTGCGGGGCCGCGATACCGTTGAAACCATCAGATGGACGGGGCGAATTTGCGCTTCGTTGTTAACGCCGCTGTTACATTCTAGCCTGGCAACGCTCGCGGTCGAGATATTTCTGTCCGGCGGTAGTTTAACAACCAGTTTCGGTAATAGTTTGCGAAACCCGCTTCGGTCACTAATTCTTCCACTCTTGGCCCAATTGTCGAGTCGTGATTATTTTTGTCTGAAACAGGACGGAAAAGGAAACACGTGGAATGTCTACGTATAGTCATTACCAGCACGCATGAAAAGCAACACCACGCGTTTTTACTTTCTTTATTTTTTTTTATATATTGTTTTCTATTTCTATCTAGTGTACACTGATAGCTATTCTTATCCTGCATTCTACTTCTGCAACAATTCTTCTTTTTTTTATTTCAGTTGTTTTTAAGGTGGTCACATTAACAATAAGGTATTCGTGACTACTAACGAAAAGCTAATAGTTGAAACTTAGAATCAACATATTGGTCATAAATTTCTTATTACTAGACATTCGGCTTCAGTATCAGTAAAAAAATTTGGTTAAAAACTTAAAAATCTTCATTTTATAAGCAGAAAACTGAAAAGTGAGTTAATAATACTTATTACATAATGACTTATTGTATAATATACTAGTATACCAATTGTATAAATAATAATACAAGATTAACAAAACAGATATATCTTCATTATAATGAATTTAGAAGGTTAATTTATCTGAGAAAGTTGAGCACATTCTGAATGGTGTTGGAATCATTTAAGTTCGTCTTCGTATCAGATTGAATGTTACAATTGTTTCTTTTAGAGGAAAAACAGGAGCAATTTATTAGAATGTGTTTAATGCTTAGAGGTATTTCGTAAAGTATGCGTTTAGGTGGAGGTTGCTTTGTTAGGAAATATTCGTGTATTAATCTCGAATGTCTTGTTCGGATGCGGGACCTTCTTCTTATAGACTTTTTATTCTATTTATTTTATTGTACTTTATTTTATGTTATTCTATTTATTTCATTGTACTTTATTTTACGTTATTCTATTTATTTTATTGTACTTTTTTTTACGTTATTCTATTTATTTTATTGTACTTCATTTATGTAACTCTACTCTAAGTTATTTTATTTTCTATTTTCGACACTGTAACGAACGATTAAGATTTCTATGTTTTCTATTAGAATAATGTATAAAACGTCCATTACTTTGCTTTATTTTTCAATCGTGCAGTTGAGCAATTTAATAAATTGCTAGTTTACTCATTAATTGATTCTGTACGTATAATCTACATATTACATATCAGGTAACAAAATTCGAACGATCTCGAAATGCAAGATCAAACTATCATTTCCATAATTGCACGTTGTTAGTTGCAAAATTGTTACTGTTTCTTTCGAGACTTTCTCAAGAAAAAGCTTTTGCACGTGTACCTTGGAACACCGCGTAGATTCAAGACGAATTAACGGTCTTTAAATCTTTATTGGGTCGTAAGTCAAGAGATCGACTTCGACGGGAACGCCCAAGGCGGAAGTTGCGAAGTTTAATTTACGTTGAACGTGTAATTCCACGTGTAACGCCTCGGAGCCGGTTTTTATTTCTCAACAATACTTTCCACGCAATTTCCCGGAATAAATGTGATGTATGTAAGAGTCGTATTTACCGAAATACGATACACACCCCGATACGTTTCCCCTTTTTGCTCGCGGCGCGCCGCGTAACACCGCCATAATCTCATTCCTTTTTATTCCTTCAGCATTTTCGTTGGAGAACTCGATCTTACTTCCAGAGACAGACCGCCACAGCGTGCGCTTCTTCGAGTTCAAGATGTTGCGAATCTCAAAGGAGATCGGAGACGTCTTGCTCACGCGTGCATGTTCTTATCTACCCGCGCGAACACAGTCACATTTCGTAAGGAGTGTTTAACGCGCAGGGATCATCATTTTCCAGTTGTAAATATGCCAAGCGAATTTGAGATTTCACGAAGAAATTTTCGAAAATTTCACAAAAAATTGTTACGAAATAGTTATTCTTAAAGGGAACTGTTATTGTTTGCTGCTCAACTTTTAATGCTCGTGCCAATTTTAAATGAATTGAAAAAATTGTCAACTTCTTTTTAAGCAGTGAAATGTATGTTTTAATTTGTTTTTATTTTAACTCGTTGAATGCTATGAGGGTCATCGGTGACCCCCAACAAAATCGAATTACTATAGTTCATTCAATTAAACGGCGATTATTTGAAAACATTTGTATATTACAAGCAATGCTACCTAATGCGGCCACATTGAGCAAGATGACCACGCAATAATAATAACGCGATTCAATCAAATGATTTAATATTTTATCTTTTCCATTTTGTGTATTTTGCTCTATGAAATCGTGCGGCCTTCGTGTTAATGTATCATTAGGATTCACGTTTTGAATATAATTGAACGTAAACACGACTTATTATTAGGAAGAAAAAGAAATATAAAGATTTCGTAAACAAGTCTAGAAACCATGACGTTGGTTGGTATTTTATGTTTTATTTATTATATTTGTCCTGGACGTTTAATTACTTATTGATTTGCTGTACTCCGTTGTCCTATGATTTATTTCTCAACCATCATTGATGCAATTACGTCATTAATAATTTATTGAAAGAAGGAGAAAAAATCTGGTCATATTCTATGCTCTAAAGTATAATAATTGATAATGAAAGAATAATATTTCATTTGAATTCACAAGAATTGAGTAACGTTTCGGTATGTTAAATTCTGTTCAAAATCTTCATCACGAGTCTGAGACCTTGTTATAAGGCAAGGTGTTAATATAATATATTCATCTGTTCTTCTTCAAAATTACAGACTATTTTTTTGTGCACACTCCTATCTGCACACAAAACATATAGGATAATTCCGGGTGAGATGGCCTAATCTCATTTACATTGTCAAATATTTATATTATTGTTCTTAATGGTACATTGAATTTTGCATAGGGGCCTATTTAACTATCCTTCTCATATGTACATATTTACTGTAATAAATATATTTTCCCTTTGTTGTGTATATAAACCGTTAATCTCTTATTGTTCGTGCAATAAAGTCAAATAATGAAGTGTATCGCACTGAAAAAAAATTATTACCATAAAAATATTCCCAAAATTCTGACCACATTTGCCGCAGATGTGATCTTGCATCTCATTTTTTGCGCGTTTAATTAAATTATTAATTTGCCGTTTGATATAACGTATCGAAAGTTAAACACAGATGGACCGTGTTTACAGGTCAATTACATTTATGCAATAAATTGAATTTTACAATAATCTGGCAGAAGAAATATATTCCGCGCGTTCCGGAGCATTTGTTTTCGTATCCGCGATGGATACGTTCGCGAATGAACCCGGTCGGAACAACAATCGCCGTTCGCAACGTAAACCTACGCAGTTGTAATTAAAATTGAACGAAATTGATCTTTCCCAACGAATTCCGGTATAAATGCCAAAATGACGTAATTTGTACCAGTGTAAATACCATAATTTAATTACATCTATTTGATTACCCGTGTATGCATAATTGAGGAAATGAAAAATGATTGAATAATATAGTCTAATGTAAACTGCGCGCGTATTTGACCCTCGGGTTATCGGATGCGTCGGAAATGTTAGTGGTGAATTTGTTTTAAATGATTGGAAATTGAAAAGATAATAGATAGTGTTTATACACGATATGCGAACACTGGATACACAAAATGTTAATATAATTATTAACCACAGTTTTCCTCGTAAATAATAAGTGACCTTCTATGAAAAAAGTGGACAATTTTTAACTTTGTATGATCTATAACAGAAAATGATTGTATTGTACATAATTGCATTTGTGTTGACACGCGTTTCCAAACTATAATAAAAGCATCTAGTATTTCATTGAAAACAAAAACGAAGTTTATTTACATATTTGTAAAACTATATTTAAAAGATTTATGACTTAAAAAATTGATATAGATCGTGACATCGATTACAAGAAAAAAACATTAAAACGTCTTCCTCTTTCATTATTTTCGTGTACTTCTCATTTACGAGGGAAATAGTAATCGAGGACCGTGTTAGCGCCGTGTGCATAGGAAACGTATTTACATCAGAGTGCATACGAACACACGGCATCTCCGCTTTAATGCATGCATGACTCGTACCGACCTCAATCGCTTTTCACTTTTCAGACTGAAGATCGAATGCGAGAAGCTGGCCAGCGAGAAGACCGAGATACAGAGGCATTACTTCATGGTATGGTATTTTCTAAGCTCGTTCTTACGTCTTTTCATCTTGCTTCGAATATGCGCGATGGTTCGATGGGAAGATCGAGGAAATCGCAAACAGCGAAAGGGGGGAACTCGATCGGGACAGAGCCGAAGCTCTCCATTATCCGGTGTACCTTTGGCGACCCATAAATTCGCAATTGTATCTAGCCCCTTGATCCAGAGTGCTGGCTTTCGAATCGTTCGGGATTATAAAGTTCCCTTTGAACTTATAAAGTCTCAAATTACGTCTGGAAGAACATTTTTCAATATTTTTTGGAAGGTTTCTCTTTTTTTAAAATGATATTCGACAAGATGAAAAGATCACTTCCTACGTTAGAACTTTTGTATTTCTCAGACATCTTTAATATGATATGAAATTACACAAAGTTCCATTTTCCTCGATGTGTTCGTGGAATATGGATTAGGATATAGGATATTTCGTAACTAATCGTATTGAACAAGTTTAATACTTCTTAGTATTTACTTTGTATTTAAACGTACTTTAAATAACAGTAGATATACCTGACTGCTTCAATAAGAATACAATTTTATTTCCACATATCACGAATACATTTTAAATATACAAAAGTATCTTACAGTGTCCAAGGTGAGTCACAAAGAACAAAATATTTATTTACTTCCATTAAAAAGTTGTATATGTAACAAAATATCTAAAATAAAAATTAGACTATTCAAGGTGCCATTAGTGAAAGTCATTAACAGTAGTTTAGTCACGAAATAGATCATAATACAAGGCATTAAAAAACTCAATTGATTGAAAAAAAGACACGTAGAAGCCAATGTAATAGAAACACTGTGTAATACCAGAATTTTCATGATTCATAATTCAATGGTACGAGGTTGCGACCGTTAAATACTTCTACTCGAGGAATTACCTGTATTGCATTGTAATACTTCAAAGAAAAGTTACCTCGTGTTCGTGGGTACAGGTATTCGAAACTCCTCGCTTAAGTTGTAATTGCAGTTGGGGAATTAATGTCCGCAAGCTGCGCTGTTACATGTTCATTATTGAATTCGGTAATCTTTGCCGGGGCTCCCCTCGTCCGGGAATGGTGAAAAACGATCGATATTGTTCCCGCTCATATTGCTGACTGTTCGATTCAGTTCCCATCAGCGCGAAGGCAATTAGTTCAACCAACCGTACTAATCGTATCGTCATCCGTAAGGAGCTTAACTTGGGACTTACCTATATTAAAGCGTGGCATTAACGTGGACCCGAAGTATTTGCCAGGGTGAGCATTTTATTTTCCCCGGCACTTTATTAAATATTTATTAAACCGGGACAGGAATTGGTAACATCGATGCTCGACGTGGTTTCTCGCCGATCGAACTTCGCGACGCATTTTAAAAGGTTCTCGCGCGCGTTTCTGTCACCCACTGTCGCGACTTAATTTGAATCTCTGCTGCCCCGGCAAACCTCCTACGCAAATAGACTCGGATTTTTTAACGTCGCCTGACATGGCTGCTCTTGCCATGTTTCCGACACGATTCAACAATTTCCACCAGAATTCATTATAAGAATCAGTTTTCGAAACTATTTTGTAGGATAAATCGAGAAATATAGAGGAATGGGAAATTGAAATGTAATGAAGTGAAAAGTGTTTGACATTAGATTTACAGAATGAAGCGACTTGACTCATATCAAATTATATAAATATTATCTGGTAAATGTTCTCAAATCTCTAATTTTCAAAATCTAAATGTAGATTAATTTTTAAAAAAATCATACAACAAACTGTATAGTAAATATCCGCAAATCTAGTGTTAAAATATGCACTGAAAGATTTACAGAAATATCATTTTTCCTTATAAATTGTTATTCTTTGTATATGAAAGAATATATTTTCTACTTTTTACATATTTAGTTGATATTAAGTTTGCAAATGAATGTTGAAGTACGAGTGTATTATTATTTTAACATTTAAAATTTTTCATTAAAGAAAATTGTCATTAGCACGTTTACAGCAACATGTCACTGGCAGTCTGAGTAAATATTCTAAAAGTTAAAACAAAATTTGCATGTGTGAAACGTAGGCTATTTAAGAGTCAACTTTAAACACTGCTGTTTTATTATTGCACGACAGAAAATATATCGAGAGCGAATCATTCAAAATTTCATAGTTGTTGCGATTAGAAATATTCCGAACTTGCTTAAAATACCATCAAAATCTAAATTGCAAATGAGAGTCGTAATTTTTTCATTTACAAAAACTTCATCCAAACCTGGGCTTCCATCAAGATATACCATACAATGGAAGAAGTGAACCGCGTCGACGCGGTTTGTTGGAATTCACCGATACAGCATGTCGCTTTGAGATATTGGCGTGTATCGATGTTATATTCGAAAGCTCCGCGCATCTTCCTGGTTTTTGTCCCAAAAGACAATCCATCTCCCTTGTCGAGCACGGGGTTGGAATCGATACACGGAAAAGCGAAAGAATACATTCGTCACTTTCAAAACTCCTTCTTTTTTCATTGTCTTCAATGACTTTTATCATTTTAAACCTCCCACGTAAATTTTTCCTTCGCTTAATTCAACCTTCCTTCTTTCAAATTCTTTAAACTCAAAAACACAAAATAAAAATCAATATACATTAGGTTTTTAATTGAAAATAAATTATATCCAATTTTTCCAATCTCACTTTCAATGCACATCATTTATTCAACTATCATGACTACCTTCATTCCTCTAAAATCAGAAACAAAAATAAAAATCAGTATGCCACGCGATTGCAAGAAAAACAACAATCTCTAATTTTTCCATTACCATTATACGTTACTCAACCGACTATCATCACTATCTCCCTTCTACTAAAACCTTTTCCCAACTCGAAACCACAAAACAAAGGCCAACGACATACGTGTTCGTAACTAAAACAGAAAATACCTTCTCCAATTTTTCCAACATTACCTGCAAGATACGTACATTACCGAATCGACTATCGCGAGCGAAGTGAAACGCGAGCGTCCTCGCGGCACGTGATCGCCAAACAAAACCCGCGCGATCCATGCTGGCGCATAGGTACCCAGAACATCATTCCCAGCGGCGAGCGAGCTGGCGGGCGGGTGGTTGGAGCAAAACAACAAAGAAGAACATCGGGGAAGAAGCAAAAAAAGATGATATATACCGTCGCGATCATTGATCCGAACGGTCGTAGCAGTTACACGCGATACGGCTTCCATCGCAATCCCAACCCCAAACCGCCACCCTCTGCCCCTCCTGTTCCTCATCCACCTCCTCCTCCTCCCACTTCGATTCCGGGCTCGCGAGATCCTGCGCCGATGTTAACTGTACGTTTGATCGTAATTGTCGCGAACTGTA